CAAAAGGGTTAATACTGGACATAAGCTAACTTCTTTTTAGAAATTATTTTATGATGGAGATAAAAGAATTTAAACCTTTAATAAAAGGTTGTAATTATAAAACTTTCTCTTGACAGAGAAGTCAATCTTTATGTTTCCAGTCTTCACAGAGGAATTTTGTACACAGTTTCTTGAAGAGTTGGTCAATTTTGAACAATCACTTCTACCTAAAGGAAAACCCAATACAATGAACAATTATGGAGTAAGTATTAATGGCACTTCATTTGGTACTGTTTTTATCAAGTGATGTAAGTTCTCTGAGAATGATGCATTTATTAGTAGTTGTATAAATTATTTGTTCACTGGGCCTCAACACTATTTTGAGATATAATGAAGTACAATTTGACTTTCTACTTGTATGTGGTTAGCAAAAACATCATGGGGTATACAGTTATTCAGTACACCTTCCATTTTCATAATGTCATTTGTTAGTTTGATAGACCAGATAATGATGGTGTTGACAAGTTTCAAATGTTTGGCATATTATTTGAGTTGGAAAGGCTGAGACATCCACTCAGTTTTTCAAAAGGTAGTTTTTGTTCAGTCTTCACCATTTCCTTGTGAGGAAAGTTGCATATCTTTTTAAAAATTTGATACAGTACCTTTTATCTTGAACACACAAAACTGTTTACTGAGGAACAATGATGTAATTTTTGTTTTCTAGTACGAATTAACACTATTTTTTTAATAAACAGGTTTTACTGAATGAATTGGGATTTTATGAAGATTTTCTTAATCCTTTGAGAATCCACTATTTACAACCAATAACAAAACTTCTGTTCCCAAAAGAAGGTGGTGGTAACCTTGACTCGCAGAAGGGCTTCACTGTCAAGTACAAGGTTGGAGAAGATGTTGATCTTGGTTATCATTATGATAATGCTGAGGTATGTATTGTACATAAAACATGACATAATTCTAAGAAAAACAAGTTTTTGTTAGAACCAAACAGGTTCTCTTTATTTTTTTTATCAAGCCACAGTGGAGTTAAGAACCATTATGGCAGCATAAAGATTAAATGTTGCATTAGTCCTAAAGCTATCTTGGTTTTACTAAAATACAAACAGGTCACCCTGAATGTTTGCTTGGGATCCAACTTCACAGGGGGAGAGTTGTACTTTGGTGACATGAAAACTGTTCCTCTTTGGAAGACCACCTGTTCTACTGTGGAACAGCAACCTTATTGTGGAATCTTGCACAGGGGTCAGCAACTGCATGGGGCACTTCCAGTCACCAGTGGAGAGAGACATAATTTAGTGATCTGGATGAGATCTTCTTCAATTCGGAATCGCTTATGTCCAATGTGTGACCGGATTCCCATTTTAGTGCCTGCTGAGGCCTATGGTGATGGTTTTACCCAGGAAAGGCAAACCGTGGATGTTTGTGGTGTTTTCTAACACAAATCTGTCTGTATTGGCTCTTGTTATAAAACATTCTTTTTTAAAAACTTGTTCGAAGTTGTTAACAGTTTAATTTGATCATCTCTTTTATACAAACAGAGCTTTGTTAACTACTCTGCCAAATGTTTGGACAATACTGTACAGCACCAGTTTTTAATTTCAGTTTGAGATAGTTAGATATACATTGTTATGTATATTTCATGTTCTTAATCTTTTAAAAAATAACTGACACAGTAACCAGATATAAGACATTTTATATAACAAGCAAGTTCACAAATATTTTGAATAAATATTCTACTGGTCCTGTGTGTTGATTATCTTATTTGGATATTTAGTCGTCTTCTTCACTGCTAATCTCTTCTTCTTCTAGTTCAGGCATTGGAAACCTGAGGAGGGCTGCCACACCTGTTAACTGGTCTAGTTCTGTAAAAATAGAACTGGTATTCAACAAAATCTTGCCCCAAAATTGCTGGTTAAAACGAAACATTAAATGAACAATCACATTTCTCTTGATAGCAGAGTTTTTGTATTTGAATGTACAAAGTTTATGAAATGTAAAAGCACCACTGTGTACTTTAATTACAAAGTAATTAAAACAGTTAAGTGACCTGCCTAGACTATTTACATATGAGGGTAGGCACTACTGTACTGAATGAATCTGATGGTTGTGTGGAGCATCTCAATAACTGCAAGATTAAACCTATTTCTGAACACATGATTTCCCATCAAACATCTCTAGTACGAAGACACACTACGCAAACAGATCAACTTATCTAATAAGCAACACTTTCAAACCTGAGTATTGGGGAACAAGTATTAAAACTCAACCAGTGGTGGTACTCTTAAGCATCTATAAACAAATAAAGAAATTCATACACAAAACCTTAACATATAAACACTGTTGTCTAGGATGTGGCCCCAAGGGATGATAAATCCATAGTGTTATTTATACCAAAAAAAAGATTCCCCCTCATACATGTTACTCTTTTAATTATTTAGATCTATAGAAGTAGGTTTAATTATTGGTCTTCTTTGAAGCAAAAGTAAAACTCACGTTCTCCTGATATGTGTAGACTTGAAAACAGTTTTACTTCCCCTCCACACTCTCTGACACTATCCACAAGGCTCACATAGCGCTTTCTCTGAGCCACATCCTGACATCTGGTGGAAAAATAACTTTTTTCAACATCATTTAATCTCAGTTACAAAGATATTTTCAAGCTGTAACCAATCACAACATTACACCTTTATTAGTGAATGAAAGAACAATCTCAACACTACTAAACAAAAGACAAAATTTAGAAACTTAATCTCTCTTTCAACTTACCGAAATAAATTATCAGAAATAAGAAGTGTTTCTATAGCTTGGGCTTCACAAGCTTTTTCCACATGTTTTATACCATAGAAAGCTCTGTTTGGTTCTGTCTGTAACATAGTGTAGAAACACTCAAGAGCCTTGACTTCTCCAGCAGCTTTGGTGTCAGAAAGCTTAGTTTGGACAATCGGGTCCTGAAGAATTTCTAAAGAAAAAAAAAAAAGAAACCACTTTGCTAATGTTTTAGTGAACAAGAAATAAATGATGTAGCAGTAACTTATTCTGTAAAATTTTAAATATTTGTAATTTTAATTATTCAGTTATCTAACTTTTTCTGTTTCGATTGTTTTGGGAAGTCACTGATACACAAGAATGTTAATGCTCTTCAGCCATTATTTCTTACCTTTAAGTGAATGTTTGAAACCAGAAGATGAATGTACTAGCACAAACTTGCTTTTATTTTCAAGCAGGACTTTGTTGTCCAATTTCACGGCTTGTTGAAAAACATAGTCATAAAACTGGTCCTACAAAGATTGATGCTATGTTTAGTTAGTTTTGATCAACCACCAGTTGAAGTAAGTATATACTTCTGTCATGAAAAAGATTAATTAATCTGTTATTATCACAGTATGAGCAATATTAACAGAGTAGAGTAACAAAGGTATATTAGTTTGCTTAAATGTTCTCAAATGCTTCTTGATGTAAGTATATATAAACTTAATCTTATAAGTAATGCTGCAGAGAACAGTACTTTTAAACACTGGGGTTTATTGTAGTTCAATTTTTAACATTTTGTAGCACTAGTTAGATATAATTATCTAAAAAGAAGATAGAACTACATGCATTTTTACATGTATTTTTACAATGTATCATTGTTAGCATTATAAGCACAAACATATTCTGACAAATTACCAACATTAATACTATAAACACAAATTTGGTATGCTGCAACTATGTAGTACTACTTACCTTCACAAATCCTGGACTTGCAATAAGAACACACTTCACAACTACGAGGACAAAAAATTTAGTATCAAGAAAAAAAAATTCATATAACACAGCTACCAAATCCTTGATGTGTACATGTTAGTAAAAAGTTCTAGACTCAAAATGAACACAGTATACATAAGGCAGAAATACCAGAAACTATAAGGTATCTTTCAAAATATGTTTAAAAATTCCTGTTCTCAAAAATGCTTTCAAATAGAGTTTGAAAAACTTGTGTTTTAATTCCAAAAAAAAAAAAGATTCTTTTATATAAAAAAAAAATTGTATAATGTATTTGTTAGGTAATAAACAAGGTAAAAAATTCCACAATTGTCATGATAATCCCCATTTGTGTGTTGAATAATGTTAGCCTGGTCTTTGTTTCCTCTCCACTTCTTTCATA